TGGTGCATGAGGTTGTTCCTCCCCAGGTGCAGGACCCTGCACTTGCCCTTGTTGAACCTCATCAGGTTCCTCTCTGCCCAGCTTTTCCAGCCAGTAGACGGTGCTGGCCTGGAGCAACCCCACAAAGGGTGTTTTTTGTTTATCCCTGTCCTTTCCTAGCATTTGGAAGGGGAAAAAGAGGCCACACGTGCTGGCGTGCAGAAGTCCATGCTGGAGCAGCAGGAGATCTATGCCAACGTGCCGTCAGCCCCCCGGCCCACAGAAGAGCCCCACAGCAGCACAGTGCAGGGGGTGTGAGCCGGCCCCCGGCCCCGCGGGCTGCTCCTGCTGCCGGCCGCGCCAGCGGGACGTGCACGGAAGGTCGGGATGGCTTTCTGCTTGGGAGGAAGCTGGCTGGGCACGGAGCTGCTGCTCTGGTAGGCTCAGACATCTCCTCAGAGCAACCTGGAAAAGGACGAGGCTGAGCAGGAGGAGCGGAGTGGGACGAGGATGAAATCATCCCTCTGCGTTTGAAGACCTTGTCTAATTACTACCACTACGACCTACACCCACTACAGCCATGGTGCTGGGAGCAAAAACCTGCCCCTTGCGTTGGGGTAGCCCAGGCCAGAGAGCGTCCAGGCTGGGTGTGGAAGGGCCGGGCAGTGGGAGGCGAGGGTGGGCTGGGGGTTGCGGGTGGCTGCCTGGCTCCCTGCACCCAGCGCCCACCCCGCTTGCCCCGTTTGGCTGCGTTATTCGCGTGGGCTGGAGCTCCCCAGCCCGCTGGTCACCTCGGACTGACTGTTTTAATGCCGATGCCAGGCAGAGCTGGCAGCTCCCGGGAAGCAGGACAGCGAGAAATGTCGTACCCAAACGCATTTGTTATGTCTGTGACAGCGTCCAGATGTCAGCAAATCCAGGGACAGCACCTGAGAATCGGGTAGAATCTGGCGCCGTGTTTGGCTGTATTTGCGTGGCGGTTTTGCACCTCACTGCAGGGTTTATTGCAGTGTCACCCCACAAGCGGGTCTGGCCCCTCGCTGGTGCCCAGCCGGACTCCAGCAGCGTGGGAACTCAGATCTTCAAGGGCAAGGACTATGCTGCTCCAGCGCAAACCCCCATCTTGCCCCAGCCTCGCCGCCGGCTGCCGCGGCACCGCTCCCCCCGGGACGTCCCACGGGGCCGCACTTTGGGCACGCTCGTGCCCCCCCAGAGCCGTCCTCCGTGCACCTTGGCTCTGCTCCTGCCCGGCACCGGGCAATTCATCCGTCGTGACAACGCTCTCCCCCGAAAACCAGGTCAGGGGGTGGGCATCTACTTGTGGGGCTGAGTCGAGTGTGTTTCAGGGGCTCATTCGGAGAGAATTCGTTAATTTTGTTCACTGCTGCAAAGCTTTGTTTCGGTATTTTTGTGATTATTTTATTCGAGAAGCCACCTGGAGCATCCCTGCTCTGCCAAAACCAAAGGCAGCTGCAAATAAATGTCAGTGGTACGCCAGCTGCGGTGACTGCTGCAGGTTGTCCCCGTAGCGGGTTGCATTTCTGTGTAAGCGAAATCCCTCCGGTTCGGTCAGGAGCTGAACGCAGACGGGGAGCAAACAGCGACGGCACAGACCAAGCATCGCTGCGATGTGTGACGAAAACCTGCATCCAGCCAGATTCCAGCCATTGCTGGGAAAAAAGGGAAAGCAAACCCCTCCGCACCCACACAGACAAACTTCTGCCGCAAATTTCACGTGGAACAGGGGAAAATAACCAGAAAAATCCCATATTGCTCCTCCTGCTCCAACTCTTAGTACTGGAGATAATAACAGTCCTCTCTGAAGGAGTCAGGAGGAGGAATCAGTTGGATTTTTTTAGGTAACCGAGTCCCACTGTGCCATATCTGGAGGTAGTTTTCACGCTTTAAAAAAGGAACTAAATCATTTTCTTAAATTAAAGCCCTCGCTGCAGCGCGAAGGCAGAAATAGCCACCGGCTGCGTGATGGGGGTGTGCGGGGGGCGGAGGGGGTGGGATTCTCGTGGTATGCAAAGCTGGGGAAGCGGGGGCGTTCAGCATTGTCTTCGGCACCAGCCGTTTTGGGCACCAAAGCTTTCATATCTGAAGACTTTGAAGCTTTCTCGGGTAATTTTAACAGCATAAGAAATTTGCCTTTTCTCCAGCGTTAGTGGTGGTTTCGAGCAGCTGCCTGGAAGACAGAAATAACGCCTGGCAGGTGAAACCTCCACGCTTTCGGCGCTGGAAGTGCTGACTCCCGATGGAAACAAGGCTGGGAGCAGAAATCCTGAGCTCTTCCACGCACGTGGTCCCACACAAGCAGTTTTTTTGCCTGGAGAGCCGGGTTTTCCCTTGCCCTGGGAAGCTGGGTGCTGTAGCTGCGCGCGGCCGGGCCGGTTTCAGGGGCAGGGATGCCGATTTACACCGTGCAGCCAGCTCTGCCCTACCATCACGACGTCCAAGCCTCGGCTGCGGGAGTCGGCCGAAAGTGGGGGTGTCCTATCCCGGTGCAGAAGCCTTCCTGTAACTCGCCCCTTCCTGAATGGCAACGTGGATTTTCCTGGAAGCACCCAGAACTGCTTCTCCACCACCTGCTCCAGAGAGATGCCAGCCCTGGGCGGCTGCTTCTGGGGATCTGCAAGGCAGAGCCTGGGCGAGGAGGGACAGCAGGAGGGGGACTGGATGCAGGAAGGTCCACAGCAGGACAGATGTATTTTAGAAATTAATTTTCAGAGCCAGGCTCAGTTTCTAGTGCCACTGCGTGCACCCAGCCGTGAAGGAAACCGGGGAGTCGGGCACAGCCAGGCAGGGATGCTCCCTGATGTCCACCTTGTCCCACACAGCCCAGGTCCCTTCTGCACCTTCCCTCCATCGCACCTGCACCTCACGTAGGGAGCCCCTGCGACCCGTTCGGTGTGAAGGGCACGACTTCTGGAACACATTTGCACTCGATAAGAAAACTCGCCGGTACCCAGGGGTGCTCAGCAGCAGAGCCTTCCCCCGGCCAGGGAGGGAAGGCAGAGAGTCGGAAGCAACAACCAAGCCTTGCTGGGGAGAAAAGTGGTTCCTGGGCAAATGGGGAGCCCGTGTGAAGCTGGGGGAGAGACAAACCCCAGCAGGACAGAGCTAGGAGAGCCCCTGCTGCCTGGCTCGTTAAGGAATTACTGCAGCCCCCAATTAGCACATAGTGAGAGATGAGTGGATAGGATGATCCCAGGAGAGAAGGAGCTTTTCCACTCCTGCCGCAGCAAGATTTTAAGGAAGGGGAGACCATCAGAGCAGCGAAGCACGGAATCCTCACTGAGAAGATGGGGTGCTACTGCCAAGCCTGATTTTATGCCCCCCCTCAGCAGCAGGAGAGCAAACGAGGCAGAGCCCCAGGGCTACAAATCCCCGGGCAGCCGGGCTGGGGCAGTGGGGAAGCCTTGGCTCCCTGAGCGGGTGGTGAGTGGCTCTCTTTGGGCTCTCTTTGGGCTCTCCTTGGGCTCTCCTTGGGCTCTGGTTTAAGTTTGAACACGGGGTGAAAGGAGCAGAGGGCTGTGCAGGTAGCAGAGCCCGTACTGGGGCTGGGGTGTGCTTGTTGCTGCCTGGGGGTTTTCTAAGGAAGCTGTGCAATAACAGAGTTTAAATAATTCATGTAATATTCAGTTTAGGCCATGATCTGGTAGGAAGCTGAGTGTTCTGTGAGTGGCAGGTCTAATGCAGGGGAGGGGGGTTATCTGGGGGGTGCTGGGTGGGGTCACATGCTTTACCCCCCTCCACCACGAACTAGGGGTGCACCCAGCTTCCTGCTCCCGCCTGTCCGGGGAGGAGTGCGGGATTTGGGGGGCACCTCCATCTTTCCTTGGAGCTCTTCCCTCCTCTCCATCAGCAAGCCCACTGCCGGAGGCTCCCCCTTCCCCAGGGACGTGTGCCGGGCAGGTACCCTGGCTAAGCAGGGCTGCGAGGGAGCACGGCTCTCGATTTTGAAGATGAGGGGTTTTTTTTTTCCCTTTTTCCTGACAGGCCGTGCATTTTCTGGCTTAAGCCTCAGCGTGCGTTGGTCAGAGCTCTGTGAGGGAGCGGTGCTGGGGCAGAGCGGTGGCTGTGGAGACTCCGGGCCCCAGCACCGCAGCCTGCCCAGGGACGGGGTACCCGAGGCCACCTCCGAAGCAGGCTGACCATCTGTCATCCGCAGGGAGGTCCCACGTGTGCGTGCGGTGAGCCTTTCCCCACCGGCGTGGAGACGCTGAGGCAGCCCTGAAGCTCTTGGTCTTTACGGGCATGGACCAAATCGCTCCCATCCAAGGAGAATCAGAGAATCATAGAATGGTTTGGGTTGGAAGGGACCTTAAAGATCATCTGGTTCCAACCCCCTG